AGCAATGATTCCAGAACAGGATGTTGCTCATAAATCTCTCCTCATAGCTTACCACCACCCACTGGCCGGCTTATTTTAACAAGAGTCATTAGTTCCCATCCCCCCTCAGTATAAACCCTCCTGTAAGGTCACCAAAAGTTCTGCTCCTGAGATCTTTGCCCATCACAGGAACCAATAGCAATGAAAACACCATACCCCAGCCACCACGACTACAAAATATTCTACAATGTACTATGAAGGAATGCCAATATATATTTTAAAACATTCTAAAGCCAAAGATTTTTTAAAAAGGAAAAGAAGGAGGGGTTGACTAGGTTGACCTGTAATCTGAGTGCTTGGAAGAAGGAAGTAAAAGAAATTCAAGGTCATCTTCGGCAAAGTTTGGGGCCAGCCTGGGCTACATGAGATCCTCCTTATATGTAATAAACAACAACAACAATGACTATTTCTAAGGGCAGAAGCCAACTCTCACTCATTTTTAAATTCTCAATTCCTTCATTATGCGTGGTATCTAGGCAGACTGCCAGCCCTCCGAGGCACAAAGGTGGTGTCCTTAACCACTGCTTTTGCTGATAGGGAAAGCCCTCTGGGCTGAGCCACACCCCAGTCTTTGCAAGTCTTGCTACTAAATCGTCACTGGGTTGTTACTGTTTTGTCTTTCTGGGCATCCCCCCCACCACACACACACTTCTCTTTGTCTTTGGAAACCTCTGCACAGTTGCTTTTTCTTCTAAACAAATGCACACCTTGCGCACTGGCCTGCAACGAATTCCAGACTTAGACAACAAATAGTTCCACTCTAGGTGAGAGGCGTATCCAACTGTGGCTACTCAGAAAGTGTACCTGTCAGTGCCAGCTTGCTGTTTCTAGGCACTGAGGCAAGTCTAAGAAGCTGGGTTTATTAAGAAAATTCTCTACAGCGGCAAAAAAAAAAAAAAGAAAAAAGAAAAAGAAAAGAAATAAGAAGCTGAGTTTAATCCATGAATCCCACCAACTAGAAGGGAAGATACAACCAGCTCTATACAGAGTCCTCCAAACTCCCCATACACACTGCGGCACACAGTTTCATTCCTCAGTGTTCAGAGGGGGCAGATACCTGATCAATCCTGTTGTCTTTGTCCTAAGGACACAGAATCTCCATGCAAAGCCAAAGGATTCAATGGTTGTTCTTGACATCTGTTTTTTCATATCCAATTCACTAACAAATCTTTTTCCATTCTCTTGAAGACCATGCGGAACCCATTGGGTTGTGTCCAGCCCTCTTGTGAACCTTAATTATCCCCTTATATGTCATGCTCAACTCCAGCCTTCATTCAAAACCCGACCTTTAAAACCCTATCAAACTGCTGAGCATGGCGCCCCATGCCTCTAATCCCAGCACTTGGGAGGCAGAGGCAGGTAGATCTCTGAGTCGGAAGCCAGCATGATCTACAGAGTTCCAGGACACCCATGACTACACAGAGAAACCCTGTCTCGAAACCCCCCCAAAAAAGTAAAATTCTATTAAATCCTATCAAACCACTAACTTGTTTCTCATGGGCTTGTCATTCTGCTAGACACAAAGTCACATGCCATGCACCGCTCATCGGACTCGGGCTACCACGAGTTTCTCTCTTAGAAGAGCCCTTACAGTCTAGCAGATTTTTTTTTGGGGGGGGGGGAAATGCTGCCTTCTCATCTTCCTTTTTTTTTCCCATAAAGTACTTTATGGAATATAAATATTTCCTTTTACCTACACCACTGTCACTACTACCGCCACTCCCATCTACCACACTTTCCTTTTTTTGGCTTCTAAGTAATACCAGTTTTTCGTTTGTTGTGGTTGCTTTTGTGTGTGTGTGTGTGTGTGTGTGTGTGTGTGTGTTGCCGGTCCTTTTCCCCAGAACTTAGGAAGCAGAGGCAGACAAATCTGTGAGTTTGAGGCCAGTCTGGTCTACATAGCCATACTACATTAGGAGAACCCTTCTCACAATATTATATTTATACATGGAGGTGAGTATATGCACAGCCATACCGGTACTCAAGGAAGCCAGAGGCAATTGATCTCCCCAGAGCTGGTGTTTCTGTGCCGGGAAATCGAGTATCTACTTCTCCTCAAGAGTGGTACATGATACTCTTAACCACTGAGCCATCTCTCTAGCACTGAGCATCAATTCTCTGCCTCCAAGAAGCCTTCCCTGAATGTTAGCATCCTGAGCAAAGAGGAGTCCCTCCTATACATCCTAAAAGCCCCACACTCTCCTGAGGGTGACTACAGATAAAGGAGCAGATGACAGAGCAGGGATGAAAGAGACAGATCAGTTTCAAGGACCTAGTGAGTTCAAGGTTAGTATAGAACACATGGGACCCTATCTTTAAAAGGAAAAAATAATATATACAATCAACCACTCTCTAGTTTTCTGATTTGGATCTCACTTCCATATACTTTGCGAAACATAAAAGGAGCTTTTCAGTGCCAAAGAATATGAAGACCCAAGCAATCATGAAGAAATGTTAGGTAAGCATTGACTGATGGGGAACTGACCGAGAACCCCTGAGCTTTGGACAGCAAATCCCACCAGGTCAGCAAACAGACTGGACCAAATAACCGAAGACGCAAAAAAACTGTCTGTCAGCTTAATAATGATACTATCAATTTTAACTGTCTAGAAGTCATCCCAGAATGCATCTCTCCCAAACATAGATGGTGGTCTTGGGGTTTGAACTACATTGTTTCTAGGTACAGGCTCAAAATTCTAGGACGGGGTAAAATGTCCCACATAGGCAGCAACTACGCACACATCTGAACATCAGCCCAAGGTACGCACCCTGACTACAACAGACAAGACGCCAATCATGAGATGCTTCTGGCACATTTTCCTGTAGAGTGAAGTACAGGTCATGTTCAGGTATGGCTAGCCAGGAAGTTTGCCTGCGCTGTGAGTTTTAAAGCAATTTGGTTTTAAAAGGCCAATTAAGTCGCCACTCACACAATTCTGCAGATTTTATGCCCAGGCCTTAAGATACAGCCTTCAACAGTTGGGTCAACAAGACGTAATTATCTCCATAGTAACAGGCTTTGACACAAACAACAAACAAGCTGACCAATTAGTATCAGAACAAAAATTTTGGTTTGTTTTTGCAAGAAAGGTCAAATAAATACCCATTAGGAGCCACCTACAACCACATCAGCCTCATTCCTCTCCGTGACCGAGGCATGTGTACATGCATGCACACACACATGCATACACGCATACATAATTAAAAATAACTCCTTGAAAATCTGAAGCATAGCATGTCAAATGTCTTCCTGGACCCTGCAATGCCAGCTCTGGCAGGTAACTCCAAAGTGGCTGGGGCGACCTCCTCAGACCTGAGCCTCTCTACCTCTCAGGGGCTCCTAAGTCGCCTATTCCAACTGGACCCTTTGACGCTACCCCGATGCATGCATAATTTAATTCTGTTATTACTTTGAGAAAAAAGAACCACCATGTAGAACCTGAAGGGGAAACATCGCTTCTACCTGCTTAAAATAAAAGGGAAAAATTACGAACAGCGACTTTCTCTACATAGTTATCTATGTTAATCCATACTAATGATCTTTCAACGGGAATTAGGACATATTTTGTTGATAAATCAGTTCATAAATTTACCTGCCATTTTGTTTGTTTGTTTGTTTAGAGACAGGGTTTCTCTGTGTAAACCTGGCTGTCCTGGAACTCAGACCTCAGATCAGAGACCCGCCTCCCTCTGCCTTCTGAGTGCTGGGATCAAAGGCTGCCGCCACCACCTGACTTTTCTACCATTTTTGATTATGCAGATTTAGAGAAGGGGTAGCTAGGGTTTGAGGATAGAGCTCAGTGTTAGAGCAATGCCTAGCATGATGAAGAGCCTGGGCTTGATCCCCACAGGATGAACAATAAACAAATAAATAAACAAATTAATAAATTCCACAACAAGTGGAAGTCAGTCTGAAAAATCTACTGAGGTTCCCAGCCTGCAGGACCACACAATGTAACAGCTTTCCCATACTGCTGGTTCTACAAGCAGATTTTTAGAACCATTGATTGTGAATAATGGCTGCTCAAAGGGTCGGGTGTAACGACCCTTTCACCATCTGGAAGCTTTGAGATCCAACCCAGCCTGAGCTACATAGTTCCAGGAAAGGTAGAGCTACGTAAAGCAGTAACCCCGTCTCAAAAATGAAAATGAAACAAAGAACATTGGTGGCTCTTGCGGAGGATCCAGATTTGATCCCAGGCATCCACACGACAGCCCACAACCACCTGTAACTCCAGTCCCGGCCCGGGGGTCTAATGCCCTCTCATTGTCTCCATGAGCTCCATTTGGTATACAGACATGCATTCAGGCAAAACACCCAGAACCATAAAATTATTTTTAAGGATAATTAAAGACTGGGAGTGGTGGCGCATGCCTCCAGCAGTTGGAAGGCAGAGGCAGGTGGATTTCCATGAGTTCCTAGGCTAGCCTGGTCTATGTAGTAAGCTCCAGACCAGTGAAAAATACGTAATGGGACTGCCTCAAAATGATACCAATTTTTAATTATTATTAATAGTTGTTATTTAAAGGAAGGCACTACCATAATTAGCATCTGCTGGAATAAAATAAACAACAAGCGCTTAATCGTATTTTAATGCACAGAAAATGAGCAGACTGCAGGAGGGATGATTCTCCCAGGTGTATACATCTAAGCGGTGGGGGACACTAGAATGCAAACCCAAATCTGACTGGTTTTGAGTTCCTTAGGCCAGTTTTCTGAAAGAGGCAGCAGTGGGTGCAGGAAAGCTGTAAGAAGCAATCCAACAGCTGCTAATGAATGGTTGCTTGGTCAACCACCCAAAGGGAGGAACAGCAAAGCCGAGGTCGCTCCAAATACCCCTGAGACACCCAGACTGTCCGCCAGCTTTGTCTCTAAGTAGTGAAAACCCTTTTCTCTGTGTGACCCTGGCTATCCTGGAACTCACTCCTAGTCCAGGCTGGACTCAAATTCAGAGATCCACCTGCTGGGATTAAAGGTCTGCATGGCTGGTTTTTATGCATTTTTTTTCACTGTTCTGCAGTCTCACCCTTGAAACACTAGGTCCCACTTGGAAGACCCTTACATTTAGGAAATTTCCTATCTCAGGCACCAAGAGGCCACTGGGGGAAGTCAGTCTCTGCCGGATGTTGACAGACGGTATAAAAGAGGAACAGCTGTGTGGTGGTGTAACCGTTGGGAGGTTGATTGATCTGCAAGGCCACCACCTGGCACCTGTGTGGGGCTGTGCCGACCACAGGCACACTTGGAACACACCATCTCGTAAGTGTGAGACTGTGTGTGTGTGTGCATGTGTGTGCATGCACATGTGTGTATAAACAGCTCCAAGACAGTCCAGACAGGACAGCCAACTCCTCCCCTCACAGTTTGTACTTAACTAATCTTTCCCCTGCCACCTGGCACATTAGCCACCTCAGTCTCTCCTCCTAATCAGCTTTGTGCCCTCACTTGGGAGGGTGCTCCTGACTGTGGCAACCCTACTGAAGGGATCCCCTTGGATCAACCTGTTATCTAGCACTCATTAACAGTATCAGCAATGACAGTCGGCTCCAGAAGGATTAATCCAGCAAGCCAGAGTCTGCAGCATTTCCCTGCCTCCCATTCCTAAGCAGCTAATATGTATAGCTGGGACTGAGTGGATGTCTTAGGGGTCCAGTAAGAGTAGGACTTAAACCAGGCATGTGGCTTGTGTCTGTAATCCCAACACTTGGGAAACTGAGGCAGGAGGATTACCAATGAGTTCTAGGCTACCCTGGGCTACTGAGTGAAACCCTGTTACAAAATCTATCCATAAAAAGTAGGAAACTAGCTTAAGTGCCACAGATTCATCAACTAATTTGTTCTTTTATCACCTACAAAATGAAATTGTAGTAGAAGTTGTAAGATTGAAACGAAAAAATATCTACCCAGGGTCAGTCAGGGCTAGAGTGAAACCCTGCATAAGAGGGAGTAAGAAAGAAACAGGGAAGGGAGGGAGGGAGGGGGGTCTAAGAAATACTTCGCAGAAGGAGCTGGAGAGATGGCTCAGAGGTTGAGAGCACTTCCAGGGGACCTGAGTGCAATTCCCAGCGATCTTATGGTGGCTCACCACCGTCCACAGTGGGATCTGGCATCGAGGTGGATATGTAGGTAGATGACTCATTCATATACATAAAATGAGTAAATAAAAGGTGTAGAAAACACTTAACAGTGTTTGGCTGTGCTCATTAAATAGTAGTGGCTGTAGGACAGAAGGCGCTGCTCACTGGTGCAGCGGCTGCCGAGAACGCCCAGAATTTTAGCTCAAACCCCAGGAAAAAGAAAAGTTGTTTCAGTTGGTGTATATCTGTGTACTCAAAACATGAAGACTGGATGCACACAGCTAGTAGTGATAACTACTAGGGTTCCCCACCCTTCCTCTCAAGGTGGATAAGGAGGCCTCGAATACGGCACTTCTTGGCTAGACCACGTTTGCCCTGCCACCTTCCTGGAACTCCAGGCTCTGTGCCAGCTGAGACCGCTGCTCCTCTCTCCAATCTTCCAGCTAGTATGGGACACAGGGCGAGGGCCGTTACCAAACAGCTACAACATCAAGAAAGCTTTCGAATTTTGGGGTACCCAATGCTGGGCTAGGCTGCTCAGTTCTGCTCGGGTCCAGCTTAGAATCTTGCAGGGTAGACAGAGGAACCAAGCGAAGAATAGTGGGGTTTTATAAGGGTGCAACCTTGAATGCGCCCTCAGTCTGAACAGTAGCTCCCAAGCCTTAGTTCTCCAGAAAATATGACCTTGGTGTTGCTTTCAACACTGCAAAGCGATCCAAACACTACTCATTAAGCTAAAACAGGGCAGTGGTGGCACACACCTTTAATTCCAGCACTAGGGAGGCAGAGACAGGTGAATCTCTGTGAGTTCGAGGCCTGGTCAACAGAGCAAGTTCCAGGACAGAGAAATCCTGTCTCGGAAAATCAAAAAACAAAACAAAACAAAACTACGAGCTAAAGGTTTTGACCACATGCAAAGTCCTGTTGTTAACTGCATAAAAGAAGCCCCATGTCAATCACGAAGTGAAGACTTTACAGTGACCTTTGGACCGCTGCCAGTTTTCTTAAAACTCAGCTTTCCACCCTTGCATACAACTTTGGATGTCGAGGGTAGAGAAGAGACTGATCTGAGTTCTCAACCTTCCCAGGACCACAGGGCTCAGAAATCCCACCGCATCTAGCCTTACAGTAGGGACAAAAGGAATCCCTGCAGGCCCACCCTGGGCAGGCCCCTGGATCACTGCGTGGCCTGCACACAACCTTCACAAAGATCCCCTCCAGGAAGAACAGTCAAACTTCAGGAGCAGCCCCACTCACCACTAGGAAACCCTGTTTTCTTTTAATTAAAAAAAAATCTAGAGGTCACCCCCTCAGCTTTGTTTACAAGGAAAGAGTCCAGCAGCCCCATTCATCACCCCTGGGGTTCTATTACACTTTGATGTGAAAAGAGTCAGGGCCTTTTGTGATTCCAACCACTCCAACTGCTGCCCTTTCACGTGCAAACGAAGCCCCAGCCCCCAGTAAGAAGCAACTGTCAGAAAAAAATTCATTGCCTCTCCTTCCAATTATTTATCAGAGACCGGGGAGAAATCACTTTAAGATCTCTCTCAAGCAAAGTCCCCAGCGCACCCCTGTGCACTCCGGTGCAGGTCTGCCTTGAATAGCCCGTTCCCCAACCCCACCGAGAGAGGAAACCTCCTGCTGTACACATTCCATCTGGAACAACTTTCTCTCGCTTCCACGGTTTCCTAGAAAGCCCAAGGGGGTCTAACCTTCCAAATCCGTCAAGTGTTCCTCTCCCTTAGGGCAAGGCGGAGATGTGTAAGGAATGCGTCGGCTACACGCGCCTGTAGCAGACCTAAGAAACTCAAGCCCAGCACCCGCTTTACCTACAGAACTTTCTTTTAAAGAATTTTAAATGTTTAAAGAATTCTAAAGTAGCTAAGAAGTCTAAAGGGGTAGACAAGAAGAGCAGGGCGACCTGCAGGGAGACTTTGGTTTTTGTTTGTTAGTTTGTTTGTTTTTGAGAGAGGGTCTCTATGTCCTCCAAGCTGGTCCTTAGACTAGGCTGGCCTCAAACACAAAGATCCTCCCAAGAGTACTGGAATTGAAGGCATGCGCCACCATGCCCAACTGACTTGTTTTGCTTTTGTTTTTAAGTAAATGTTTTAAGTTTATGCATATCATTTTTTTTTTAAATCTGGGCACAGCAGCACACACCTTTAATTCCAGTACTCTGGGAGTAATGATGGGAAGATATTTTGTGAGTTCAAGGACAGCTTGACCTAGTAAAATCTCCAGGTTCTCTGGGATTATACAGTGAAACCCAGTCTCAAAAAGCAGAAAAAAATAAATTACAGTTCTTAGCCAGGAGAGAAAGGCATGATGGGGAACTTAAAGCCAGCCTAGGCTACAGAGCAAGAGCATGACTCAAAAATGAATTGTAACATGACAATTAAATATACTTCTTAAAATCTGTTTACTGGGCTGGAGAGACGGTTCAGTGGTTAAGAGCAATGACTCTTCTTCCAGGACTGAGGTTCAGTTCTCAGCAACCAGCTAACTATTGTCTGTAACTCCAAGATCTGACACCCTCACACAGATACACATGCAAACAAAATACCAATGCAAATGAAATAAAAGTAAATAAATGTTTTTTAAAAGTGTTTATTTCTTATTTATGTATTGTGTGTGCATGCTTGTGTACGCCACCACACACACGAGGATGCCAGAGGACAGCTTTATGAGAACTCTGGTAAATAAACCGGGCTAGGAGGCAGCAGGCCCCTTTAGAAAGGACACCTAGTCAAGGGTGGAATAGGGAAGGCTCAAGACCCTGGATCGTTTCAGCACCAATGAGACATCCAGAACACTCCAGGACAACTGGACAACTGCAAGCAACTACCCTCATGTTGACTCTCACCCAGCTTTTGAGTTAGCTTCCATTTATCAGGAAACTGGCAATAAAATCACGGGGCTCGACCTGGGGCACTGACAGAGCTAGCAGCAAGCTGGGACTGTCCTATGAGTCTGCAAGGAACTTGCTCCCCAAGTTCCATGACTAACCAGTTCCAGACAATGCCAAACCAAACCCTAGAGTGGCGAGCAACCCCCACCTCTGTACAGAAACGCAGCCAAGGCCCCCACAGGAAGCTAACAGATACTACACAACGTGGGACATACCTCCTTCCATAAGCATCCTCGAGCCGACAGCGCCCTCACCACACAAAACGCAGAATGCACGTTCCAAAACAGGACCTGACATGAGAGACCTACGGCAGTGTGTGAGCTTCAGCAGCTTTTGCCAGGAAACAAGAGATTTCAAGACATTTAAAAAGCTTTTCTTGGGGCAGGGTGAGATAGACCACGCCTTTAATCCCAGCATATGGGAGTCAGGCTGATCTCTGAGTTCTGGGTCAGCCTGGTCTATGTAGACAGTTTCAGGCCAGCCAAGACTACAAAGTGAAACCCTGTCTCTGAAAAATAAGCAAAAGAGAAACAATGTATCTTCAATAATTCCTCTTTTAGTCCGGTAGTGGTGGCACAGGCCTTTAATCCCAGCACTGGGAGGCAGAGGCAGGTGGATTTCTGAGTTTGAGGCCAACCCGGTCTACAAAGCAAGTTCCAGGACAGCTAGGACTGCACAGAGACCAACCTGTCTCAAAAACATAAAATAATAATAATAATAATAATAATAATTCCCCTTTCGGTTGCTTTAATAAGGCATGTTTGCTTTACTATAACAATCTATTAACACCTTGACTAAATAAATACATGCTGTCTATTTTACACCAATTTCTTTATTCTTTATTCATTTTTGAGACAGTCTCACTATGTGACTTTGGCTGGCCTGGGACCTCTCTATATATACCAGCACACTGGCCTCAAATTCACAGAGATCTGCTGTCTCCGATCCTTGAGTGCTGGGATCAAAGGCATGTGCCAC